TAGAGTGTAGAAGATGGTTTCATAATTAAAATTTTGAGTTATTGGTGATTTCTTTAAAAGACGTTACACCTGATCCTAAAATTTGATTGTTCAATAAAAATTTTTTAAAGAACTATTCAAAAAACTTAATTCAATATTAGTTTCTTTTTTTTTTTTTATATAAAATTTGTTTTCCTTATAAAAAGTAATGCGGTATCAAAATTTTTTTTAGAGCTTAGATAACATAAAGATAATATTAAAGGATTAGTATCGAATTTTAAGTTTTAATTTGTTAATTTGTTAATTGTGAATATAAAAATTATATGGTTTTTAACGAAATTGATTTTTTTAAATGTAAATATAATTGTAAAAAGATTTTACGATAATAAAGATTTTCAACTACAATATATTTTGAAAGAAAATTGTATTTTTCAATCTATGTATAGTAATTTAAAATTGGCAGAACAAATAAACTTATAGATAAAAGGCAATAAAAATATATAAAGTATAAACAAGGTATATACATATATTTTACAATAGTAAAAAATATTATGTAAAATAAAAAGAAATTAGTAAGTATAGCTAAATTAATTATAATATAGACTATATTGAGATATATTGATATAGTTAAATTTGATAATGCTATAATGTAGTTAAAATGGATGTTTTCAAGTAACCACAGTTCAGCTAATGAATTATTAATTGTGAATTATAAATAACATAATTTATAGTATAAGTTTTAAAAAATTCATGACATTCACACTACACTTATTCACCAAATATCTTACAACATATAAATGTCCTTCTTTACAAGCATGAAGCAAAGGTGTCCAACCATCCTATTCATATTTAGTGTTCACATCGCAACTAATACTTTAATATCTAGATCTCCAATTATCGACATCATAGCGCTGCCGTGTGAATTGGTAAACGACCTAATTTACTTGGCTAGGGATGGATTAGTCCGGTCCAGTTCGTCCTTGTCCCTAATTGTCCCTAATACGACCAGTCCATTAATGTCTTTGGTCCGGTCTCAGTCATGGTCCTTATGTTATTTAAAACTCTACCAATTTAATTGGCTAACGGAGAGATTTAAATAATATGATATGAATAATCGAAATTAGCAATTATGTAACAATTGTAATTTGATATTTTTAACTATTATGAAGACTGGTCCGGACTAGTCTCAATACTGAGGACTGAATAACCGTGGGACCGGTTAAAAAGACTGATCCTTATTCGGTCTTTCCAGGCCTGTCCATCCCTATACTTGGCATTAAACTTTGTGTTGGTGAAATTGTGTAAGTATCAAGGTAACCTTATTTAAATAAGAATTTTAAGTTAATAAAGAGTTTATAACTTTAAAAATAAAAATTTATTTAAATACCTTCTTTTGCAGCTATTTCCACCAGTCTTTATTTTGAAAATTTACATTGGTGCCATGATTGACAAGAACTTTTACAATATCAAGTCTTCCTTTCATTGCTAATTCAGTTTTCTATTTTGATTTTCGTTAATCAAAGATCGCCTGACGTTTTTTTTAGTTAATTATCGAAATATTCACCTGCAATCATTTCTGATGTCCAATCTTCTCGTTTCATACAATTAACATCGACATTTTGCTCATATAACCATTTTACACAGTCTAACTGTCGATCGAAAGTGTGGCAAAGTAGACGCATAGTGAAATTAAATCTCCTTTCTGTACTAATTTTGAGAAAGAACCCATTTTTTTTTTACGCCAATATTTTAAAATTCAGATTGATTTATTAATATAATAAGTTATGTGATTTCCTTCGTGGGTGTCTCTCATACTGTTTTCAAGGGAAGACTAATGCAGTTCATGATTCAATAATTATTAATTAAAATTAGAGTAAAGATCTGTTTGAGGTAAGAATTAGAGAAAGATTATAATTAAAATTACCTTCCCAATAATTTTTATTAATGCTCAAAGAAGAGTTTAGACACCAATTTCTAATATTTTCGTGTTTTTCCAGTTTTTCTTTATTTTTGATGTCCTAGCAATTTTGGAACTTCACACACGATGCCCCAGCCAACGATAACTAATGTCCAATAACAACTTGATTTAGCTTACCATATATCAAACTACATTAATGGCCCTCAGGCTTTGTACGCACGTAAAACAATTTTATTACTAACCTTTCACAAGTTCATATCTCTATGAATTTTAAAGTTATGAACTGCAAAAGTTTAGTAATAAAACCCAATGTTATGCGTTGTTTCTTGATTTTGGAATCGGCTAGAATTTTTTTCTTTATTAATAATTATGGAAATATACTTTATTTTCTGGCTCGCGAAGCTTTTAATCACAAAACAAATAACCGATGTTTAATAAATTACTAGCCTTCTACTTCGCTTCATTTAGTATAAGAATTTTATTTATTTAATATTAGATAAGAAAAAAACAAAAATACACGTAAATTTCCGAGTTTATTTTTTTTCTTTGGTATTTGGAATATAGGCTTGTCAAAAATTTTTTCCCTAAACTTCGTGGAAAAACTAATAGCAAGTATCGAGGAAAATGACTTTTTTTTATAACTTACTATACGAATAAATCTTTTTAAATAAAAAAAAAAAAAAACTCATAATTGCTGCCACTAAAAAAAAATAATTTAATCCTGCTATATACATCTTAGAAATTGCGAACGACATAAGTCAATAATAATCGATGCAAATTTCATTTTAACATATTATAAGTCGAATTTTTTAATCAAATTATTATATAAAAAACAAATTATTTATTTCATACTATATAATTGAATTTAATTCCTTTGTTATTTCTTCAATCGTGATTAGAGATGTACATTTTGCATTATGTGTATTACATTATACAGAACATAATGTCACATAATGTAATGTAGGCATTTTAAAATTTAAAAATGTACATAGAAATTACTATATAATTTTAATATAACAAAAATCAGTAAAAGATTATATTTTATATCATATGTAATACTAAGTAATATATAATATTAGTTAGTAATTTTCTACCTATATAAAGCAAACTAATTATTATGAGGTTTGAAAATATTATGAAATAGTAAATTTCTGTCTAGAGATAGGAATATTGCTTCTTGATTTTAATAGAACACTATAAATGCATAATGTCACATTCTGCATTATGCTGCATTATGTAATGCAGAGCCAAAAAAATATGCATTTGTACATCTATAGTTGTAGCATGTAATCTATAGAGTTTTCTGAACCTGTCTCTTGACTAAGAGTGTAGTTTGTATTACTTGAAGAACTGATACTAGATTCTCTTCTTTTTCCTTCACGTATTTCCTTTCTCTTGTTTGGAAAGAAAATGCTTTCATAGGTATCTTCATTTTTGGTAGAGGTGCTGTTGCATAACTTTTCTTTATTTGTAACAGGTTTTAGACTGATATCTTTTTTCCATCTGTTTTCTTGAGGATTTGTTGGGAGAAAGCTGTTATAGCATGTTTTCCTGTATTCTTCATGTCTGTTAGTCTCCTAGTACAATTTGGTGTTATAGTATGTGATGCTATGCTTTTTGGCTTTCAACTTATCTTCTTTGCTTTGGAAAGTTACTATCACGTAGCTTTTGTTATTACCATTTGTGTTTTGAAATATATGTACTCCTTTGGCATTTGTATATCTTATCTATCTAAGTACAAGTATCTCATTTGCATTCTTAGGGATATTATGTAGTTTTAGTGTATGTTGTTTTCTCTCGTCTAGAATATCTGTTCTGTTATGCCCAGGAGTCACTCTTACTAATACTTCATTATTGAAGGAAATTACCCAAGGTATTTCTTCCTAACTATTGAACTTTCCTTCAGTAAAGGAAATCTCTGCTCTAGGCTTATAGTGATCTTCTTTAATCATTTCTATATGATCAACTCTATCTAAGTATCTTGTAGCTTTGAATACTTCAGAACAACTAACTGTACGGGGTAGGTCCCAAACTGTGATAGCATTTTTTTGCTCTTTGAGTTGATCTCTTCTCTTTGTCTTGTTTTGTTTTGTTTTAT